GGTTCAGAAATTCAGCAGTTCACAAATTCAGAAATTCTGATTTTTCGAATTTCCTAATTTCTGAGTTTCTGAAGTTCTGAAATTCTGAAATTCTGATTTTTTAAAGATTCTGAAGTTTTGATTTTTGGTTTTTCGAATTTCCGAATCACCAAATTAGGACTTTCTGAAATTCAAGAATTTAATCTCAGAAATTTTAGTTTTTTGACTCTTAATTTCTGAATTTCTGGGTTTCTGATTTTTTTTAGATTCTGCCTTTCTGATCTTCAGATTTTCCGATTTTTGCGAATTTCTGCATTTCTGCATTCAGGAATTTCTGCATTTCTGCATTCAGGAATTTCTGATTTGCGGTTATTTTAAAAATTTAAAAATTTTGAATTTTTCGATCCGAAAATTCACACATTTTAATCTTTTGGAATTTGGAAATTTATAGTTCTAAAAATCCAGGTTTCTATAGTTTCAGCATTAAAAAAATTTGGAAAATTTGAGAATTCAAAACCTTCGAAATTCGAAAGATTTTAATTTCTTAAAACTTAAACCGTAAGGTATTTCCAAAAAGAATACTCCTGGAAATCAATTTTGAACGCGCCATATGATAAACAATTTATCCGTTGACCACTTTTTGATATCAACAGGAACCGAGATAATTTGTCTCAAAGTTAGGGGCCCTTTTATTAGAGGTTTCTACAAACATACATGCAATCATAAAAATGAAAGCGAGCTCCATAACATAACCAGCCATGACTCCTCTCAAAAACATTTCATCATTTCCACCAAATGTCCGATTTACAATTTGAAATGCCGATTCTGCATACGCATTCGGAATCGACCCAGAAGCCGCAGAAGACGCAACAATAACTGGATAAATCAGAAATTGAAGAGTTATAAATCCGAGACCGATGAATGTCACTTTCAGTGTCCATAAATAACATTTTTCAGTGTTTTGTGAGAGTCCAACCAGGATAAGAAGATCTATGGTTAGAAGAATGAATGCGAATGCTCCAGTTCCTGCGTTGGGATTCTGATAGAACGACGATGCACTTTTGAGAATTCCGAATATTGTGATGAAACATGTGAATGGGCGAGCAGGGATGCAAAGGAATTTTGGTTTTTCAGGGGGTGGTGGATGGTTGGGACCCGTCGTGCGGTCCATTTTATTACCTGAAAGAAATTTAAAAATAAATGAAGTTGTTGGAAAAATTAGAGAGTTAGGAATTAATACAGTACTTTACAAAAAGACTTCATTTTTGAGTGGATAATAGTCAATTTGAGAGCCTTGAAAAGTATTCCAGATTTGTTCTATTTGTCTGAAAATTGTAGAGTGTATTAAACAAAAACAGACATTTCGAAAAATAAAGTGAACAAACAATTTTTAAAATATGAAAATTATTTCTTGCAATCTTTGCAATTTTCAATTTCACTGGAAATTCAAAAGTTGAAAAACGATTTTCAGAAGATCCTGAATTCTTTGGTTCTTTAGTCTATTGACGATTAATTTTTGGAAAAAAAAGTCAAGAGTCGAAAGACTTTATTGTTGTAAAATGTGTGAAAGCTGTATAGTTTCATCATAAAATAAGGGGAAAACTTGAAAAACCGCAGTTTATATTTTTTTGGAAACTACTCTAAACTTCTCGAAAGATTTTGAACTTTTATAGAAACAACACGGTCTCAAGCAAAATTAATGAATATATGGTCACAATAAAACTGCAAAAAAATTTCGGGCCAGGTTTAGATTTAAAAATGTTCAAAATCCTTCTGAAAGTTTGTTTTAATTGAATCCTTCACAAAAAGTCTTTGAAATTCTGAAAATTCTGAAAATCGGAAATTCCGAAAATCTAGAATAATTGGAAGTTCAAAAAAATTTGAAAATCACAAAGTTCTAATATTGAAAATGTTAAATTTTTCAAATTCTAAAACAGTCTGAAGACTACAATTCAAAACAATTGAAAGTTTAAGAAAACAGGAGAAATAAAAACGTTTTGAAAAAAAAAGGAAATTCAAAAATTTCTAAAAATAGAGTATTCGCAAATTTCTGAAAACTGAAAATTCCGAAAATTTGACACTTTTCGATTCTAAAAACACGAAGTTTTAAAATTTTTAGAAATTCGAAAAAATCAAAATTTCAAAACACCTAAAAATTGAAAATCTCAAAAATACTATAAGTTGAAAATTTGTAAAAATCTGAAGATTGAATATTCAAAATTCAAAAAGTTCAATTAAATCAAAAATTCAAAGTTTCTAAAATTCTATAAATGTAAACTCTCAAAATTCAATAATGTTAAATTCTGGATATAGTATAAATTATGAGAACTCCAAAAAATTTTTTCTGAATCTTAATTCTTCTGAATATTCAGAATGTGTACGATTTCTCAAAATAAGCCTAAAACTAGCCGGAACCTAAAGTCTATAATATAATTTTCACCGGAAAACAAAACTAATACATTTCTTCTGATTGTGTGAGCACATGACTAGGTATGTCACATGTGAGAAAATCTCGGAACCTAGCAACCAAAAAAATAACATGTCTTGAAAAAAAAATAAGAGATTTAGAGAAAATCGAGAAAAAACAAAAAAAGAAAGAAAACGGCGGGTTTCGAGAGAGACCAAAGAAATCAATGTAGGTCCAGACACCCAGGCCAGAAGGAATTCATTTTTCATTCGGTGAAAATGTCAGTTGGTAGCAAAAAAAAAGAAAAAAGAAGGAGAAGAGAGAGAGAGAGAGAGAGAGAGAGAGAGAGAGAGAGAGAGAGAGAGAGAGAGAGAGAGAGAGAGAGAGAGAGAAAAGGAAAAATCGAGAATAGAGATAGAGAAAGATAGAGAGAGACAGAGAAGCAGAGTAGTTGTCATTGGGGGTATCAAACTTTATATCTGATGGGCAAAAAAAGAATGAGGAGGAGAAACTGGTATGAGAGAAGTAGATGTGACACCAAAATGGGTAAAATATAACAGTTCGAAATTGGAATGAGATTCTGGTGATTTCTGTGTTTCTCAAATATTTGTTGTAACTTCTAGAAGGTTCTCAGAACATTTCAGAACATCTTTGTCAATAGAGGCGCATCAGCCAGCTGATTGAAAAATAGGTCACAGGCCACACTCACCAAATAATCTAGCTCACATTTTACAAAACTTGTGAAACTGAAAAAAATTGTTAAAGTTGCTTATTATCAGAATCTATGCTTACAAGTCATTATTGAAAAAAATGGGCGGAGAATATATCTGCGAAAATTATGATGAAAAAATTCGAATCGTCCAACAACTTCTTATGAAAAGAAATAGAAAAAGAATGTCTGAAAATTATACTTCTCAAGCTGGACAAACATCCGATCATTTTGAGTGTCTATATAGTTTTTTTAAAAGTTCTGTTTCAATTTCTTTTCAAATACTTGAGCTTTTTTGATTTCTAAAATTTTTGCATCTCTATTGGTGGAAAAAATTGCATCTCTATTGGTGGAAAAAAACTTGAAATTTTGAGTTTTTTACTGAATTTTTATGAATAGGAAATTCTCTGGTAACTGAGCAGGCAGAGCAGCAACACCATGAGACAACAAAAATAATAAAATGTTATAGAAATTTTGAAACAGAACGTTCATTTTCCTCTTCGAACATGTTTCTACTCTGAACAATGACAACTTTTTAAAGGTGGGGGGACAGGAGATTTTTCGTAGTTTTTTGTAGCTAGAGTACGCATTCTACCGTCACGGTGTACAACGCTTAATGTCACTCTGCGTACAGCTGTCGTCCTCGCCTTTATGTATGCAATCGGGCGTCCGCTTTATCTTTGCCCGCGTGGCTCAGTCGGTAGCGGCGCCGCACCCTCAATCATCGCCTTCACAAGTTCAACTCCTCGAGGGGCATCTTTGAACGGAATTTCGAGAACATTATTTTTTTCATGTCCCCCCACCTTTAAAAAAATTACCGTAAAACCTGTATTAGAAGTGCCCTTGAAATTGAAGGGCCCCTCTAATTAAAGTGCCCCCCTAGACACCTCGCGAAAAATAGAAGTGCCCCCCTCTATTTAAAGTGCCCCTTTGCTACTTACTGTGGCCGTCGCACGGCGACGAAATGTTGCGGCCCGAGAAAAAAAAGTTTCGTTTTTTTTTACTTTTTGTCGTTTTTTTTTGTTAATTTGGTGTTATTTCCCCCAAACAGAAGATAAATTATATCCGTGGCAACGATGCCATTATTGAGTTGGTGGAAAGAATGGAGGAGGTGGAGATTGAAAACGAGGAGAATAGCGACGAGGAATATTTCAACAGTGACATTTCAATTGATTTGGTTAACTGAATTACTGGTTTTTTATTGTTATTTTTTAATTGAATTCCATTTTTTGTTGATTTGCTTTGTTATAAAATTGTTGATGTTAAAAAAGTTTTAAGTAAAAACAACAAAATTTTAACCGAAAGACGATGTCCCTATAATAGAAGTACCCTTATCAGCGACCCGCGAAAAATAGAATTGCCCCCTCTAATTGAAGTGCCCCTCTAATTGAAGTGCCCCCCAAGAGACCTCACGAAAAATAAAAGGGCCGGCACTTCTTATACAGGTTTTACGGTAATAGCAGAAAAATAATCTCCAAATAAATTCTTACCTAGAAACTTCAGAAATGTACTCAAAACTCTCTAGAAACCTGAAAATTCCTTCAATTCTCGAACCTTTCTATGATTTCAGGGTTTTCAGCTTCGAGAACCTTCTAAAAGTTTCAAAAACATTTTCAGACTATCCTCATTTCGATGCATTTTTGATTTTTCCGGAAAACCGTTGTAAAAGCTGCGATACCAATGATCGTACGAGGAACTAAAGTGAGTAAATTATTTACTACTATTACACAGGTGATTCGCGAACAATCCGTTACGGACGCTTCGCGTTCGCGCGCGGTTGAAATAGGAACCGCATACGGACCGTACGCGAACCGTTTTTAGTAAATAGCAGTACATTATTCGGATTGATCCGTATCCTGTCCGTTCGCGAGCTTCGTATCCGATCCGATTGCGAATCATGACCGAACGGATCCGTTTGCGAATCAAATGTTTTATTGAGTGAAATCTACATTTCCGATCTGAAATCTACATTTCCGATTTTCTGAAGTTCCAACAACTTTTCGACGAGACTGAGTTTCGAAAAGTTGAATTTCTGAATTTCTAATTTTTCAGGTTCTCAAATTCTCGATTCTAAATTTTTTCGAAATTCTATAAAAACAGGGCCGTTTCAGGCCAGCCCGACATTTAGTAAGTATGCAAAATTCTGAATTTTCCGATTCCTTAAAATCTGATATACCAAAATTTGGGTATTTGAGACATACAGATTGAAAGAGTTTTCTAGATTTCAAAATTAATGTTCTCCTACATCTGATTTTCTAAAATTTACTAATCTCTGAACTTGCGAGTGTCTTACTTTTTCAATTTCCGGATTTTCTTACTTCCGACTTTCCGAATTCTAGGAATTCTGAATAACCAAAATATCGAATTTCGAAATTTCCTAACAGACCATGAAAAAATAGTCCCTGGAAAAAGGACGAAACCTGTCTATAAGACAACGGGTACTGTAAGCGGGAGCCAGGAGGCTCAGCCTGGAGGGGCGCAAACCGACTGTTTTTCAAAATTCGAAAATTTCGAAATTCAGAATTTTCGGAGACCTGAAAGTTTAGTAAACCTGACATTTAGTTATCCAAAATTTGAAACTTCAGGAAACCGGGAGTTCACATACTTCGGATTTCAGAACATAAAAATATTTTTTCAGTCGTTTGGAAATTTTGAAAATTTGGGAAATCAAACATTCCGCGAAGAAAATTGATAGTATGCAAAATTTTCAAAAATTTTGGTGAATTCGGAAACTCGAAAATTTTTTTATTAGAAATTAAATTGTAAGATACAGAAAGCGGAAGCCAGGAGGTTGAGCTCCCGACAGGTGGCGTAAACCGACTGGTTTATATTAAACGCAACTTCAAGTTTACACAATTCGAGAAAAAAAAACTGTTGCCCAAAGCCGAAAATTGTTCTGCTTTCTGAAAATAGAACAAAAAAGTTATTTTTATTTATGAAGAATCAAAATGATTTATATTATTCTTAACCTCGAAACATCCGAAAAGAACCTAGCAGCAATTTAAACAAAACGCTTAACTTTTTTGAGTGAATAGTGTTTTTTCTCAAAAATCTAGCCTCAAATTTCCACTCTGAATCTTGCCTTGTTTCTTTGATGGCATAATCCCTAGAGAATAACTTTACTACGATGTTTGCATTTTAGATTCAAGGATTGAAACAGTTTTTTCTATGGTACTCCAATTTTCCACCTTAAAGTGATCAGCTGACCTTTCTCAGAACGGTTTCACCTTGAATTCCAAACATAGCTTCTGGGAAAATAAGTTTGTTAGTATGTGAAGGTGGCAGATGTTCCAAATGATGACCCTAAAAATATCTCGTTAACTGGAATGATGATAATGTGAAGGGACCATAAACTCAGTAGTATACTGTTTACGGATCAATAACCTGTCAGATTTTATGACATCTCCTATCTTGCGTATTCGTTTTAATAGCATTTGTAACTAGTAGTCATAACAGAAAACGGTTTGAAATTATTACATTTATTAGGAAAACAGCTATTAAGAAGAACATGTAAATGAAGGAAAGAATAAGAAAGTTAAATCAATTATCGAAAGATGTGATCCATTGATTGTGGTGGAAAGTGCATCGTTGAACGTAGTCGATTCCGATGTTTTGAATTCCGACAAAGTGTTGAATGTAGGTTTGAAGAAGGATTGGAACCATTTGGACGAGATGTTTCATTTCTTCCGATTCGGCTTTTCTTTTGAAATAATCGAGAGTGATGAAGTAGACTTTTGGAAGATCCTTGACTTGTTTTGTGAAGACATGAGCATTCCAAACATACACAGTCACATCTTTCAAGAATTGATGAATTTGGTATTCCAATGTATTATGATCCTCCTCCAATAATCCATTCTCTCCTTGTTTTGGGAAATCATCGTTCTCTCCGAATTGAGTGAGCAATCCCATTTGGGTCATACGTGGAAACATGTTGAGTAGAGAATCCTGATGATTGATTGAATTTAATTCCGATTTGAGTTCATTGAAAGCAATTGTGAACCACATTGGAAGACGAGGACGTTCTGGATTCTCTCCTTGAATTTCAATACTGTGCTCCAGGAAGAGATCCGTTTCGTTTCGAAGATATTGAGCAGAAGCTCTCACGCGCTTCTTGATTCCAATGTTGTCTTCTTCGAGTTTGACTCCATGGATTTCAGCCATAAGAGAACGGAAATCGAACATCATAGTTAGAGAGAATAAGTGAGACAATAAAGAGAGAGCTAGTCGAGATGACTGGGTAATGAATGACAATTTTTGAGTTCCTTATATAGGCTGGAGGCGGGACTTAGTGGCCCGCAGACTTGCCCCGCCCACAATATCTCGTCGTCTGGATGTCTGCCTGGGAGGGTTAGCGTGCTCCTAGGAAGAAATCACAGGTGAAGCTATTTACAGCCAAAAGTGAAGAAGCTAGAAAATTTTTGAAAACACTATTCGGTTTAAAATTAAAAATTACCATAGGGGCTGATTTTTCATAACTTGTCTACCGTAAAATTGGGTTGACGTACATTTCTGTGGACTTATAAAGAAACATGACGCTGCGCATATCTAACTATTAGAAGACAATGCAATTTATGAAGTTTAAAGAGTTTATAAAAATTAACTTTAGTTTCGAGTTTCAGATCAGAGATACATGAAAAATAGTAAAAGGAGCTGGTTCTCACCCATGTTGGCAAAGTAGTTTTTATCTACCAATCAAAAAATACACTTCGAAAAAAAATGTGTTTCAGGAAACAGGGAAGGTTTGAAGGTTTGCTGCAGATATTAATTCTTCATTTCACTTTCGTTTATATCATTTTCCTCAAAGTGAGCTCTTCTTTCTGAATTTAAATCATTGAAACGAAAATTTTTGAAACTTCTACTACCTCTGAGACACCAATTAATAAACTGTTGGGATCTAAAATTATTTATATTCTCTAACAGGAAATTGTACTGTTTCGAGTAGTAAACAAGTCGAAAGTGTTTGGGCTATTTTGTAATCAGTTTGGCCACAGAGAACCTCATTGATCAAGTTGTAAAGATATTCTGGATTACAAACGACATGGCTAATGTTGATGAATTTCTAAAGAAAATGTGTCAATTAGCAAAATAAAGCACAATCAGCGTTTGTTTGGAAAACTCGAATTGTTCTGACCATAGCGCACTAATTTGAAGCGACAAAAAAAGGGTGGTTATTGAAACAGATAGTTTTTCCAGTACTAGCAGACTGCAACCTCCGAACGTTTTTTCGGTTTCTCATGTTTCTATCTCTAGGAGTTCGATTCAACTTTAATGCATTCAATTGGCTCGTCTCATGTTAGTTTTTCAACATTTAGACGAAACATTTCGAAATCCTATAACCTTTGAGATAGCGATCAATGGTAGACACTAAACCATCTTCACCTCATCATTCCAGTCAGTTTTATATTGTTCATTGTCATCATTTGAAACATCTACCACCTTCACATACCAACGGACCTATTTTCCCAGAAGGGACGTCTGGAATAAAGTGTGAGGAGGTTCTAAGAAGATCAGCAGATTTGTTGCATATGAGGGCTACAGTACCAACGGTCAAAGTGAAGGGACTCTAAAAAGGTTCAACTGATCTATTTTTGATAAAAAATTACAGTACCAAGAAACAACTGTTTCAAACCTTGCATATGAAATGCAAAAATCGGTTCTATTTAGTTTGCAGGCTTCGATATTTGTTAAAAACAATCGTTTATTGGAAAACCGCAGAAACAAACCAGAGAAAAAAGAAAAGAATAAATGCACTCAACAGATAAAAAATAGATCAGTTCATGAGTCATTCTACAAATACTAATACTAATTCTTTTACAAATAGCTACTGGCAAAAGAAGTACCCAAGAAGGACTGACTGATTGATTGAGATGGACTTCTAATTCGACGTGCTCCGGCTCTTGTGCTTCTTCCGGATCCTGCTCCATCACGAATTGGTTCGACTTCTTCGATCTCATCATCCAAACCATCTTCTCCACTCATCATTTGACGTTGAACCAGTTGTTTGTAGAGTCCTTCTTGTTCCATTAGTGTCTTGTGATTTCCCAATTGTTCCACTTTTCCCTGGAAATTCAATGAATTTTATTAAAGAAAATGCAAAAAGATATGACTGAAACTACAGGAATTTTCTGAAATGGAAGAACCTATCATTGAATCTAGATCACTGAGATCGCAAGAGTTTTTTTTTCGAAAATGAGCTCAAAAATTTAATACTTGAGTTGATTTAATGTGAAGTTTAAGAAACGAAAGATAGGGAAACACACTTGAATTGAAACTTTTAGTAACGACATAATATTTGTAAACTTTTTGAAATCGAGAAATATCTTCTCATGCAAAAACTTATGCAATTTTGGGTGAATTACAATATAACCGATTTTATGACGATGACAAACCACCTTCCGCTAGTAAAAAGCTTTTTTGATTTTTAAAACAATTATTATGAAACAGAAGATACATGTTTCCTTTTTTCGATTCTTACCTTATTAATAACCACAATCTTATCCGCATTCTCGACAGTCGACAATCGATGAGCAATCAAAATGACAGTCTTTCCCTTCAAATTCTTCGAAATCGCTTCTTGTACCTGAAAAAGATATTTTCGGAATATTTCGATGCAAATTGAAACTTACAGTATGCTCAGATTCAGCATCCAATGCCGAAGTGGCTTCATCCAAAAGAAGAACAACTGGCTGGCGAACGAGAGCACGGGCAATGGCGATTCTTTGTTTCTGACCTCCTATAAAGTGTTACTCTTTGCAAATTTCTGTTTTAGTGGTCTTCCAACAAACATGGTATAAAAATCATATTAATCATGTTTCGTCATAGTAACATTTAAAGTTTTGCATTGAAGTAGAGATATTTTTAATTTGAAAACTGTCCAATTCTAACTTCCACACGTTAAAAGCCCTAGAACATCTCGACTTTCTGATGACTCGATTTGTTTTACAATTTCGAGAGACTTCACCTGACATTTGACTTCCTTTCTCTCCAACATTTGTGTTGTATATATCAATGGTAATAAAGATAGGACCCCCCTTGATTTTGACTTTTCAGAAAAAAGTAAGAGAGATATCAAAATTCTGTGAATGCCATTCGATTCAAAATAAAAAACAACCCCAGAAGCCAAATTTTCATAACTCTAGCACTTTCCGTACCGGTCCACCGTCCAAAAGTCATTTTTAGGCCGTGTAATAAGGATAGGACCACCTAGCATTTTAGAAGCGATACCCATTTTTTCGATTTTTTTCTTTTTGCATCACATTTATTTGTGCTGATTTTATTGTTTTTCATAGTTTTATTTCTCAATCCACCTTATTTATCAAAAGTTCGGTCATTTTTTTGGATAAAGAAGAACACTTCTTAACAAAATTCAAGTTTATTAACAAAACTGGAAAATTCAGCGAAAAAAAGACAATAACGAAGAGAAAAAATTAATAACTTGTTTCTCCTCCATTCTTCTGGACGACTTCGAACAATCTGTTGGGCATACTGGCCACGAGAGCTCTCAACTCCGCCGCTGTGATAGCGTTCCACTCGGCTTGCAGGATGTCCTTGAGCTGTTGAACCGTAAAGTGGAACTTAGACGGCCCGGACGGCAAATAAAAGTGGAACTTAGACGGCCCGGACGGCAATAGAAGTTACTGGAGAGACCTCCGAAAGGACCCTCTACTCTTCTCTCGAAGGAACTTTGGAGGCGGATCCTTGATGGTGTGGGGAGGATTCTGCAACGGACGAAAGATGAAGTTAAGTTCATCACAACAAAAGAGACCTCCGTTACGTACCAAAACACGCTCCAAAAGCCCATCGTACCCTTTTTCCGAGACAAACGTCGAACACAAACGTTGAACCCACTCAAAATGGTAGTGATCGTCTTCTTTCACTCTCACACGCCCCTATTCTGGAAGACTGGAATCGAGTAACTTCCTAATAGGTAACCCACAGTTGTAGTCACTAATGATGATTATATCGTTGATGGATCGTTAAAGAAATTGAAGATAATTAGGAAACAAAAACCTAAAAAATTTCGGAAAAAAACTTTCTCCCCACCCTAATACTTTTCACCGGAAAAATTTCATTTTCCCCCAAACTCACTCTCAAATTCTCTCCCAATTGGAATTGATACAAAAGGAACGAAACCAAAAGTCCAGATTCAACTTTTCCATCAATAACCAAATGTCCTCCATACCACAGAACAATAGTAAGAATTCCCATTTGAAGAAGCTAAAATGGTTACTGTATGGATTACTGTAGAAAGTTCCAAAACTTACTTCCTTAGACCAAATGAGCCCAATAACAACGAACACTTTACGAGTGGCAATTTTCAAAGTGACGTTCAGGAAACCATGAATCTGTAAATAGTAGGTTAGATGTGCAGGAGGATACAGTAAGCATACCTGCTGGATTCGTAATTCTTACAAGCGAAAGACTTGATGGTTCGGATAGATGAGAGAAACACTTCTCCCACGTCATTTGCCATGGCAACAGAGTTTTGAGTCTCTTCGGAAAGCATCTGCAAAATCTTCTAAAATTTAGGCATTAACATCATTCACCTCCATCATACTCCTATATGAATATTGTGAAACGGAAAAATTTCGAAAAATTACAGTACCACTAAATTTTCAAAATTCCATCTGTTTTCAAAAGTTTTGATTTTTCGTCTCACCCAATAACTCTAAAACCTAAAACAAAAACTCACATCATACCAAACTCCAAAAATCTTGTTGACCAAGAAAATGATTGGAATATTGATCAAAGTGATCATGGATAACTTCCAAGACAATGTGAACATGAAAATGAGCAATCCGAAGAGCATTTTCAAGTTTCGTTAGTGAATTCGATTGCTTCAAAAGCAATGTTGAAAAAGAAAGAATATTTTTTACAAATTCATCATTCGAATTCGTCAATCTGAAAACTAGGAAAGTCTAGAAAAATTGATATTTATTACAAATTTATTAGTTTTATTATTACAGATTATTAATTGAAAAATACAGAAAAAAAAGTTAAAAATTACAATAAAAATTAATAATAGTAATGAACTGAAAGTACTGGATTAAAGCAGACTCGTTGCATCTTTTTCTTCTCTTCAGATGACTTCCATCCAGAAAACGTTGCTCGAAATGGATTCGGTACCAATTCAATGTCACAAATCTTCGGTTCTTTCCACTGCGAATCCTCCTGAAGACGTGGAATTTTCTTCCTCTTGGTTTTGGTGAACTTTATTTGATTCTCCTTTCCAAAATCCTCCCAAGTTCCCATTGAACTGAAGACGTCGGGTTTCGTGGATTCTTCGGTTACTGTAGTTTCAGAGTTCACAGTCTCAGCCAACGGTGGAATTGGTTGGCATCGTGGATTAGTAGAGGGCTCCATTTGGTTAGAATAATTATTATAAGAAGAGGTAGAAGAAATGTTACAGGAAAATAAAGAATGAATGATGAGAAAGGAGTTTTATGGTCCCAATTGATTGTTGACCTACATTTTCGGTTCCCGCGGCAAAAAAAACTTTTCTCCTGGGGAAAAATTAGAGATAACGTGAGTTGGAAAAATGTCAGAAACATACAGTCTCGAAGGCAATTGGACTAATTTACTTTTAAAATTCTAATAACTATCTGAAAATTTTTGTTTTTTGTTAATTCCGATTATTTCGGTGATTTTCAAGTTGATTTCTAATTTTTCTGTTTCATTTTCTCATTTCAATATAACTTTTTTGTTGTACTCTTGTTTAGAGGAAAATTTTCTAATTACCCAAAGCCGTTTCCTTCCCTTCATGTGTCGAATAATTCATACTCAATAGTTTTTTAAAAGAACAATTCAAAAAACGAATCCGTATTTCTAACATGAAGAGGTGTGGGAAAGCAAAAAGAACATAAAAAAACGAAAAAAAAAATGGGAGACACGGAAAATAGACAAGAAAATGGATGAAGAAAAAAGATAAACCGAGCGTCTAGCGCTGTGTGGAGTGATGTTAGTACAAGAAGAAGAAACATTTTACCATCATCATCGAATCATTAAATAATTCTAATTCCAGACAAAAAATACACATAGATGTTCTTGGAGAGACGTAGTAATAGCGGGGTGGGAAATGTTCCTTTCAAAGCAAAAATCATATGGAGTGAGAGAGAGAGAAATGGCTTAACGGAGACAAGTTGGGTAATACGAGCGAAATAGACAGTTAAACTGGTCAAAAATTACAAAAAAGGAGAAGGCACAATTAAAAGAATAAGAAATCTACAAAAAAAAACAAAACGAGTATTAGAGATATCAAGTTTGAGAGACGATGGAAAAAAATGGAATAAACAGCGCAAAAAATGAATATCATGATGGTGAAAAAGAGGATCAGTGGGTATCATCTACTCGTTGAACATCCAAATATCTTGTTCAGCTCCTTCTGCACAATGATCGAGGAGGATTTTACGGCGGTGTTCCACGTAGCGATATTTATCTTGGACCTGAAAAAAGAGAAGTTCAAAATACATTGACAGCATACTGTACCTTTTGTTTCAATGTGACAAGATTCTCACTGTCCAAATCTCGCTCCAAAAACCCGGACAGCTGTTCTGTTTCCATTTCGAGATCTTTTTGATTTGTTTCAAAGATGATAGAGTTGTTATCTCGTTGGAGATAAAAAGCGAATGCATAAGTGAACATAAGGGTACGGCGGCATTCGGACAGCACGTCGACTGCTTTTCGAAGGAATTGAACCTCGATCCACGACATTGATAGTGTTTGCATCTGTTCCATTTTGGATTTCACTGTCGCGTAGAGCTGGAAAATATAAGAAATGAGAAAATGAATGAGCTAATTATCTACTACTGAAAATTAGAGCTTTTGGTAGTGATTGACAGAAATCGCACGAAAATCGAGAAAATTAATTTTTTTCAAAAGTTTTTAGGACCTTTTTAGGTTTTTCGGCTATTTTTGAAGATTCTTTTCGATTTTTCTGAATTTTTTGTCTGAAATTTGGGTGTTCTTGACCGGAAGATTACTGTAGATTACTGTAGAAACCCTTGTAGTTTTTTGTAAGCGAAATCACGTCTAAATGCAGGCAAAATTGTGTGGAAAAAACCACAAAAGGAAATTAGGTTTCTACAGTAATCTACAGTGACCAAATACTGTTCCATCAAATTTTGGTTAAAAAAATCGGAGAAATCTAAAGAATCTTTGAGAATAGCCAGAAAACTTAAAAAGGTCTGAAAATTTGCAAAAAATCGAAGAGAGAGTTTCTCTCAAAAAATCCCAAAATGTTTAGGATACGGTAGTTGTCGTTGTGGGACCTTGACATCTCTGATTTTTGTACCAAAATTGAACTAAAACCCTCCACAAACCTTTCCTTCGAGTCTCAAACTCTGCTGATGACCCATATAACGATTATAGTAGAACAGGTATCGCTGAAGGTTGGCACGAGAGACCTCTTGAGCGTCACGGGCGGTTTTTGCCACCGAATCGTCGAATCTGAAAATTTTGAAAGTTTTGTTACCATTTTCTTTCGTTTCTCTAATAGAAGCTTACCCGAATCGTCAACGTTAAGCTCAATTATCTCGGCTGCTATTAAAGATATCAAAAAGTTGCCAACTAGTAAATTGTTTATCATAACCTCACCAATATTTTTTTTTTCAGTTGACAGAGTTTTGATATCTCGCATAGGAATCGAGGTAATTGAGCTCTACTAGAGGAAATAATGTATCCCTTCAATTAACAAACCTATTACAATTATACCACGAAGAACCGTGCGGTTCCCACGGTCCAAGGCACATCCAACAGAATTCAAACCGACAGGCGGTGTTTTTGCATGTCATATGATTGCATCCACCGTCTTTCTCAATTGTAATCATACATTTCGGACACTCTTTGGTGTTGGCATTGATCCAATTCGAGGTTTCCGAATCGTCACTACATTTCTTCATCCATAACTTCAAAAGTCGGCAATTCACTGGCTCATGCCAATCGTTACTACATGAGAAACAGAATCGAGAGCCGCATGAGCACACGACGAGACGTGGTTCACAATGACTGACCTGGAAATAAACAAGCGTTGATCTAGATCTAGATTTCATTCAAAACATGAAAATGAGTCGAAGCTCAAAGACCTAGTAAACAAACCTTGACAGCTTTTCCACAATCAACACCGGGACACCATTTCAGAAGTCGGTTCGTTTCCACGTAGCTCGCAACTATTAGCCGACGGTAGGAGGCGATGACGTTGGGGTCGGTTATGTAGGTCATTACCTGAAATTGAACATTATGATTTTTTAAAAATAAATATGAAAACGTGTTTTTCAGTTAATTTTCGGTCATTTTCAGGAGTCTATAGCTCGGCTGTCAAGTCCGATCGCTTTGAAAATTTTGGAAGATGTAAAATAGAACTAGATTGAAAACTTTGCATTCACAGAGTTTTTTGAAAATTCCTCTAATTGTCGATTTCCAAAAGACAGCCATTTTGACGCGTTATCGTACTTTTTGACGCGTTATCGTACTTTTGACGCGTTATCGTAAAACATGAAAAATAGGTGTCTTTTAGAAATCGGCAATTAAAGGAACTTTCAAAAAATTCTGTAAATGCAGTGTTTCCAATTTAGGATTGTTTTTTAACCTCCAAAGTTTTCAAGCTGATCAGACACTTGAAAGTCGAGCTTCAGACTCCTGAAAGTTGTCAAAATCAAGGGAAAACTTCGTTGTTTCATATATACTTTTGGCCAGAACTGCAAGGCACAGTTAACTTACCTTCTCATCCTCAATCAACAATTTGCAATTGGCAGCCATGCACTCGATTTCACTTTGTCCCGCATCCACAATCTTATTCGTCAAATACGACTTCCAACACGCCGTACATGCTCGATGATTGCACGCCAACCCTGACAACGGTCCTACGATACAACAAATATCGCATTCTGAGTCTCCGGCTGGCACGGATTCTGTGTGACGTGGAATCACTTGAGCATCGATCAAAAACGTAGTCGTATCGGGATTCTCGTAGAATCTCTCTAAAAGTGACTCTTTATTCCATTTGTATTTGTGAAGAAGGATTCGACACATCCCGCCTTTCGTCTGCAGTACCGCCTGCACATCGGCTATCGTCTTCTTCATCTCGATTTCCAGGGAATCGTGGTTTAGAACCTGACCATTTTTGGAGTTTTGCAGGATTTCTAGTTAAAAAAAACAAACCTCATTATCAGGCACCGCATTTTCTCTATACTCTGAATTGTTCTGATCGTGACTTTCCAGAGCTATCCCGTCGTCATCGGAGAGACACTGAAATTTTTTTTTTGGTTTAAAACAATTTTTTGTCTTCAAATTTGAAAATCTAGAAAGTTTGACCCATTACCGAGATGGACATCATCGAAAACTTGCTGGTATCGGTCATTTTTCAGACTTTTCAGGTATCACTGACACCTAAAAGTGCCCTGTTGGCTGCTGATGCACTTGCCACGTGTCCTTGTTCGTCACGCGGGGAAAAACTACGATTTCCACGTGAAAAACGCTTACCTCATCGTCTAAATCACCCTGATCCGAGTCACTATCATCCATTTGTATCTCATCCTCGGAGCTCATCACTTTCGCTGAAATTTTAATGGATTTTCAGACAATATATGTACAAATTTAGAAATCGATTTTTGCCAGTTGCGCAATTTCTGAAAAAAGTAAAAATCCACAGAAAACGACACAGGGAAAACACTGAAAAACCCGAGAGGTCGAACAGCAGAGATACTGAGGAAGCAGACAGAGCAGAGGAAATTCGGAAATAGTGTAATGAATCAAGAGTGTTCGGGGCTGGCTTGCTGTGAGACAACTGAAGAGAAGGGAGAGTGCTACGTTAGTGTGGCGCACATTTGCCCCGATCATGTGATCGTTTTCTGATGTGAATCTTGTATTATTTTGGTTTTTTTTTCTATCAGAAAATGTTGAAAAAAGTCCAGAAATTGCTAAATTTTTGATTATTTTTCGACAAAGTACGGTTAGCAAGGAGTAGTTGCGTACAGAGCGTTATAGCTGACGAAATTGAACTTTTCATTAGTTTATCAATTTTCGTTTTGAAATAGGTTTCAAACACTGTTTTTCATCTAAAAACAAATTTTTAAATTGAGCATAAACTTGAAATTCGTCAGCAACACTTCGAAAGCCAATTTATTCTTATAACAATCATGGAAAAAAACACCAAAAAAAAAGAAAACAATTTATTGAATTTTCTCTCTCCTTCTCTCATTGTTCCATTCTTTTAACTTTCTAAAAATCGAGAATAAATTGGCTGTGAGGAAGAAGGCAATCGTGAGAATGCATTCGAATATGAACTTTGGGGCAAATATTTTCCACACCATCAGATGACGTCGGTGGATCGATGCGGCCAAACAACTGAATGTCGCTCGAATTGTCATCAATATAAGTGTCTCGGTCAGTCTCAACGAAGACTGGAACTATAAGAAAATTTTATAAGAAAATATAATATTTTTAATAAACCTGTTGACTAGAAGAATCCAAACTATTAGAAATCACAAAAATCGGAGAGATCGCTGAGAAATTGAGATGCACGAGTACAAAAATGGCAGGAAGGATTCGGAGAGCAGCGCCTCCGGGTATCCCAACAAACGCAGCATGCCATGGAATCGAGGAGATAACTGGAGAATGTCCCAAATGATAGAAACCGAACGGGATGAGCAGGGCTATCACAGATGGAAGGGAATCTGGAAAAATATGATTTATTTAGTGTTCAAAGAGCGTAGTGTTATACTTTTAGGCACAAAATTGCAAATCATCACAGATAAGGCAATGAAGGTGATAACGGCAGGGGTGAGGCCGTCACCGAAGAGTAGATAGATGGGCATCAGAAGGAAATGAGCACAGATTGAGAGATTTCTGAAAATTTTAGGATTTTTAAACTTGGAGTTGAGGCAAATTTACTTTTCCCTCCAAGAAACTATTCCACATGCAACAGAAGCTATTAAAAGTATTTGAGCAGTCAAATTGGCTCGATTTGTGTCATTCACTAATGAGGTGAAGACTGAATGAAGCATAATTACAGCAATTAGGATCCATGAAACTGCAGAAAGAATTCGAATCGACTCTGAAATAAAAATTTATTCGATTTTGATAATAAAAAATAACTTTTACCTGATTTTCTAGCTTGATTTTCCGAGCTACCGTAGAGCTTGAAGACCGTAAAATTGGCAGTGACGAGGGAGACAAGACAGAAGAGAAGTCGAAAAACTTGGGCATCTCCTAAAAAGTAAATTTTTCGGTTAAATTTTCTGTCGAAATTGGTAAAATTTGCGCTCAAAAATTGAAAAATTACAGTACCACCAAAAATTGAAGGCGCACACCAGAAATGTTTTCAATCGTGCCGAGACCCAACAGATAAAGAAGCTGTGTGCGCCGTTAGTATTGTAATTATTTTCATTGACTTTTTTCGATGTTCTCCGAAATTTAATTTTTTAAAAAATTTGAAAACATGAATTTTTTGAAAATTAGCTTTTAAGTACTTACTACTCAAACTGCCAGCTTGTCTCGCTGGATAATAAAGCTCACATCCGATTTCCTCTTCCCGGCACTTGTGAAACATTGGCTCGCCTCTCAATATCAACATAATTGCCATAAAAATGAGCAAATTTTGCTCTTGGCTTGTAAATTTCAACATAGAACTGATTTTGTACGGTTTTCGTGGTCTCTGACATAATCTGAAAATATAAAGTTCTCCAAAATTTCTAGAATTCTCGAGTTTACTGTAGCCGCTCAATGAATATAAGTAGAATCAATCCCTGTAGAAAATATCGTATCATTTGAGCTTCGTAGACGACAAAACTATTTGAGAAGAGGCATATCGAGTGGATGACGACGAAAAGTAGTCCTGAAAATTCAAATTTTCCAGATTTCTACAGAAAATTTTCAATGTTATAAATACTTGCAGTGCAAATTTTACGCCTCCCATCAAAAGCAGTCAGTCTATGAAAACGCGCTCCACTGCATCATCGTTCAACTCCGCACACACGCACACCATCCAATTAGACCCCGTTCCTTTCTATCGATTTTAGTGTTTTTTATACACTCAAGCTAGCTGTTCCAGTTGTTTTGAGGTGTATATATTCTAGTTCAATAGGTTGATATTCTCGAATGTCCCATTTTACTCTTCCCATCTGTGCAACAATTTTTATAACTCAATTTTAAGCGCAAAAAGAAATGGCAAAAGCCGATGCTCTATTCCGGCAACGTCGGCCTGGCCGTCCGCAGAAAGCTCGTCCCGCCGAGAAAGACGTAAAAACTGGATTCGACGGAAACTGGGATCTAGTCGTCCGGAAGTGCCCGACGACGTTCTCGCAGCACGTTTCAGAAGTCACCACAGCCGAGTCGGAGAGTAGGGTGAGTTTTATTTTGAAAATTTGAATTTTTGGTCTCAGGCAAGTTTGGAAATCGGAACCGAATTTCGGCAAACGCCGACCGACCGCCGATCCATCGGCGCCTTAATGGGAACCAAATAAAATATTTTTAAAAAACTCGAAGTTTTCATTTTCTTAAGGTCCAAAACGACGAGCTGCTGAAACGAAAATCACGTCGGAAAACCGAGATGCGTCCGTTTCAGGCGATGTGGGCGAAAAGTCTCAGCGGGCTGGGAGTGTCGGTTCCACACGAGAAACCCGATAGAGTGAGTTTTTTCTCGGGAAATTCTGATTTTCGTATTATTCTTGATGAACCTTGTGGCCGCAAATTTATTTAAAGGCGCATAGCCGGTCCTGGAGCGAACAGCCACGGTTTTTACAAATTAAGTTATGCGTCTTTAAAACAGTACGTCGGAATTATTTTATTTTTTCCTATGGTCAGACTTTGCTTTTTCGCTTAAATTTTTCAGATTCTCATGAATAATCAGCTGAATTTCTTGGGTCAATATAAAATTATTCCAAAGTACTGCATTAAAGGCACATGAAGTTATTTGTAAAAACTGTGGGTGTTTTCGCTTCTGGACCGGCTATGCGCCTTTAAATAAATTTTCAGCGACAAGGTTGATCGGCACCGGATAAGAATAATAGCCTCATCAACAACTCGGTTAACTTTTATTCATTTTAAAATTCCAGATCGCCAACGTCAACACCGCCGAGTACTCCTACGAAAGCATAAAAGAGATCTCTCTCATCAAACCAGCAACGTCTTCTTTCACTCCAGAAGAAGCCGCCACCACCGTCATTCAACAGATAAACAACGGTTTCATGACCAATGGAACATTCGGACAACCAGCTAATAAGGACAAGCTGGATGCCAGTTTCATGGCTCTAGCTCATCACGATCAACCAATTTGTGAGGTAAGATTGCTAATCTTTTTCACGGCATCGAGGTTAGGAAAGTTGGCTGCGTGCCAGATTCAAAATTTTTAAAAATACTTGAAGTTGGGCGTTATTGAGTCGGTACTCAGCTAAAATGGCTTGGTGCCAAATATTAAATCGAGGTTCTCAACAACAAAAATTCTGATTTCAGCGTGTCATATTCGCTTCTCTCAACGAAGAAATCGCCGCACAAGAAAAACGAGTTCTCGACGCTCGACGACGTCTCCAGGAGGTGATGAAATACTTTGGATGAGCTGAGCAATACATATGTGCATAATCGATCTTCCTCCTCTATTACACTTTAACTTATTCTATTCAATGTACTATTCCTTTTCTTTTCTCACTGATGAAATACGTTGTCATTCTTTTTTCTTACCAATCACTCTAGCAGACACTATCGAGTTTAGAGAAATCCGAAGCGCTCGATGAGCGAGAGATATCGTCGAAGAGAGGCACGAGACAGCGAGAGCCATCAGAATCATCGTCCTCGCACTTCCATCTGAATCAGTCTTATCTGTCAGAAGAGCAGCTTGAAGAAGTGCGCATCCAGTTCGATAAATGATCCATCCAGCTGACATTTCCTCGTTGGTAATCAGGAAAAAGACGGCTTCGATCAGAGAAAACAGGCCGACGTTGATGTAGGCGTCGTCGAATTGTGTCCATGCGACGCGAAGGAGTGTTTGGATACGGGACATTGTTCTGGAAATAAAAAATATTAGAATTCGTTTTAGAAGACGTCAGATGAATTACTTGATTTGTTCCTCCATGGTGTTTGAATCTCGTGCGGTGTGAGAGTGAAGTTCTCCAAAGTTTTTCTGACTGGCGTAGGTTTCAGCAAATCTGGAAAAATCGCTGAAAATCACCCTGAAGACGGCTTAAGATCGGCTCAAAATGATTCGAAATGACTGAAAATCAACTGAAAACAGGTAAAAATGATCCAGGAGTTTGTTCTGGACCATTTTCAGCCGTTTTCCCGTCTGTTTTTTCAACCCACATTCGAGCGAATTTCGACCATTCTTGGGCAAATTTTGACTATTTTAGGTCATTTTAGAACCTAAAAATTTTGCAAATTTTCGAAAAAAAACCCCCCATTTTTCTTCGATTTTTTGCAACATTTTTAGACCTTTTTAGGTTTTTCAGCCAATTTCAACGAATATTTTTTGATTTTTCCGGTTTTTTTTTGCATAANTCCTCATCTTTTTTTTTCCACCCAACTTGAAGAAGAAGCAAATATTCTGAATCCTCCTCAATCATAATTGCTCATTTTTTGGGAGTTGATCATTGTGGACACAAGTTTGGACCATCCCATCCGGTTATGGCGGATACGTTAAGGAAGGTTTGTTGAAAGTATTGGAAATTCTTGAATTTGAAAACCTGAAACTTTGAAAATCAGAGAATTCAAAAATCAAAATCTTCAAAACTGCAACAATCCGAAGTTCCGCAGTTCCGAAATTCAGAAATTCAACAAAAAAATCAGAAAACTTTTTTCCAGATGGACCGAATAATTTCAAAAACCGTCGAATCAATGAAGCCCACGGATCTTCTTATCGGGATCGGAGATCACGGAATGACGTCCACCGGAGATCATGGTGGAGAATCAGACAATGAAATTCGAGCAGGGATTCTGGTTCACTCCAAAAAACACTAAATTCAGCTACCCAAAACTTCCATTCATCAAATCGATATCGTCCCAACGATTTCCCTTTTAATGGGCCTCCCAATTCCATTTTCGAATTTGGGTACTGTAATTGTAGAGATGTTTCAAAGGGATTTATGGGAAATGGCCGTTGGAATGAATTATGAACAGGTTAAGAGGTAAAAATAAGTATTTTTCCATAATTAAAAATCGGAGCAAAAGGTCTTGTAACGACAACTGCAATAACCTAAAAATTGAGTTAATTTTTCGAGAGAAAAACTTAGTTTTCATTCGTTTTTTTGAGAATTTTTTAAACCTTTTTTTAGGTTTTTCAGCTATTTTTTCGATTTTTCCGATTTTTTTGTCTGAAAAAGTTGAAAAATGCTCATTTTTGCTAGTGAGAAAATCGATAGAAAACTCATGAAAATCCAGAAAAGAAATTTAAAAAAATTGTTTTTTTCTCGATTTTTTGAAGAATTTTCAGACCTTTTTTAGGTTTTTCAGCTATTTTTGATAGTCCTTTTTCGATTTTT